AAGCCGTGTATAATACATCTAAATTTCAATTTTAAATCCTATTTAATTAAGCGGAATTTGAATCTCCCTCTCCAGGAAATTTTCCACCTAAAAGTTTAAGGTAGATGAGGTCCAGTGGACAAGCACAAATCCATAGGGTACCTTATGCTGAAATTTAGTTAATTATAATATAATTGGAGCAACGAGGATCGAATACTAAATTACTTTGTTAAATAGACTTTGAAACCATTTCAAGAAACCATTCACCCTAACAAAGTCCCTTCATAGGTTTTTATTCTTTCTTCTCTGTTTTAGGTTTGGAAATCTATTAATTAATTACAAATTTATTATATATTGCTATTGTTTTATTTTATTTCATGGTAGTTGTGGTTCTTGCCAACAATTTAATTATTTAATTATTTACGCCAAATTTAAATGGCTTAAAAGGGGGGCTTTTGATATGAGGTTGTCTTGTGTTTTTCAATCCAAAGTAACCCAACTTGATTAATTAACTAGTGCTGCAAGCGTGCAACTTAAGTAAGCCTGGGTTGGGAAGTTTTAGTTAAACTTGAATGAGGTAGGCCCTACAGAATTCAGATTTCGTCCTTACAAAATTTGGTTCTTATACCATCTTCACGACACTTTAGTCATACATTGAAAACATCTTATAAATGAAAATATAGAGAGATGTTCTCAATGTATGGTTGAAAGCAATATGAGGATAGTGTGAGGACCACCTCACACTTAATTTGTGAGAACGAAATCCAATCTCAGCCCTACAATCTTCAAATCATGTACTATGCAGGTGTTTCAATTCGTCATCAACCCAACCAGTTGATCCAGTTATTCGGTCACAATTCCAATTTGGATCAACCTCTCATTTATTAGTTTGGAAGGAGTACAAATGCAAATATATACAATGTAAATATAAATAAAATAATATAAAATACAAGGTTCGGCACTCTGCGTATTTGTATTTAGATGGTTGAATGGTTCATCCATGAATCCATGCAATGGATTATGAGGTGGTTTTTCTTTTTCTTTTCTTTTTTTTGTATTTCTTGTTTTAATAACATTACAAATTGACCCGTTGACTTAAAAGGTTGAACCATTGACCTCTTACAGGGAAAAATAGTTAAACCTCGGGTCTAGTGTTAAAATAATTCACAACTTCACATGGTGAACCCAAGCAGTAGACAATAAATGTACAAAGGGACAAGACAATATGCTTGCGCCATGGTTATTAAATGTGCATGGTTGTACATTATGCCACAAAAACTTGTGACGCGCGAATAAGATGGTAATTTATCATAATAATAAGAAGAAGAAGGATGAGGAGGAAGAGGAGGAGGTAGTTATTTATCAAATTCAGAGGGGGGAAGTGCTTGATTGGTCAAACTCCTTCCGGTATCATGTCTGGCCGGCAATATAGATTTTTCCTAGAATCTCACTAGAATTACTATTTCTCCATATTTTATAATTAAATCCAAAATATAATTAGAGCATGGATCTGCTACCAACATGCCACTATTGTCACACATCAAGAACATCTCTCATAGTGCACGATCTAGTAGCTCCCTATTGGCCGGTGATTCAGATGTTGAGCTGGATAGTCCTTTGTTGTAAGGGTTACTCAGATGCCAAGTTAGATAGTTTGGTAGGGCGACCTGTAGAGAGATAGTGTTAGAGTGTCTGGATTACTTTACTCGGGATGGACACTCAGATGCTTAAATCAATAAACTAGAAATTTTTAGAGAGAGATAGAATGCTAAATAACCAGAGTATTCAAGAGCTGAGTCGCATGTACCCTTTCTCAAGGAAGTGATGCCTTTATATAAGTGTAAGGAACCAAAGGCTCCTTGTAATGGGTTCAAGATTCCCGGGAACCGCTCCCGCTAAGTTTAGAGAGGTTCTCTCAGTCAGTTATGCGATCCACATAGAGGGATAAGGTCCATTCGATCAACTCTAATGCAGATAATGCGGGTAGGCGAGCTTAACGGTTGAGCGTCATTACCCCGAAGAAGTCAGTCTCGATAATTGGGTAAGAAATAGGTCGGTGAACACGTCAAGCATGTCGCTACCCTGGACCCTAGTCTGCTTGGCAGGTCCTCAAGGAGGTCGCTCCTTGCATTGAGTTCCCTTAGATCGGTAAGGCCGAGGTACTACAGGTCGACTCTGGACGAGGTGCTGCTAGCCGCTCTGCCGAGATGATCTCTGCTTACTTGGTGTTGAGATGTCATTCAGCTGTTCAAAAATACCACGTGTCGTGATGTTATTTGAAGGACCAAATTGTCCCTCATCAATCTCAATTGCCTTCTATGAGGAGATGTTCCAAATGTATAGCGGTAGTGCCTTTTGGATACGTGTAGGTTGGATCTTCATGGATAGCAGATCCGAGCTCATCTAATTAAGGCTATCCAAATTTGATTTATTTGTAAATGAACCTACTATGGATCCACCCCACTCCAATTCTTATAATGGTTTCTAGCCAGCTTTCCATCCTTATTCCTACCAGATCCTAACTCAATAATGAATGAAAAAAAAAAGGATAAGCATAAACAGAATGGACTTCCCTAGAAATAAAAACACTCTGCAAAGCATAGGAATTCAGCCACACATTAGGAGCATCTGCCCATGAATTCCACATGCGTGTACCGAAAATAGGAATTCAGCCACACATTAGGAGCATCTGATTAATTCTGAGTTTAAGCTTTTGTTATATTAATAGTCAATGTTATCAATTTCACTTGCTCGAGGGGGAAGGTGTAAGAATTAGAGTGGAAGCAAAGGGTGGTTTTAGCTTTTAGGGTTTGTTAGAAAAGTACTTGGGGGAAGTACAAGTACTTATCTCTGAAAAATACAGTAACAAGAAAGTACTTTGACATCTTTTTTTATTTTGTCCACATGTTGGGATACTAGTTATTAATAAAAAGCAGAGCATGACACAGAATTTGGGTAGTTCAGAGCTTAAATTAGAGTGATGAGCCATGGTTAAAACCAGTAGGTGCAAATTAAAAATTCATTCTTGGAGGACGCAAACAGTACTTTTCTTGTGCAGTGTTGTGCAAACCATTAATTTCAAAGAAGCAACATTATTGGAAACCTGGAAAGTCTTGATTCTTTTTCCTTTCTTCACTTCATCTCATATTCTCATGTATTTCCATTCTAAGAAATGGCTTCATTATCCATCCTTTGCACCTTTCTGAAAGTTAATTTGAAGATGACAAATTTGTCTTCGTCTATCTACTCCTTATCTGATAGACCTCTTTGAATTAAATAGATGCTGTTTTTGTTTAAATGTTGTAGCTAGAAGGAAATACTTTTGTGATTAATTAAGAGAGCTATAAAATGGTTTTGGGCCACATAATTTGGTATTTATCACATATTCAGAACGTCAGGACCCTCAATGAATGGGCGTCGCTATACAGATTAATTGAATACTGTAAGTGAGAGGCTGTGAACACTGTCACTATAAATCTCCATTACTGAAGCACATAAATCTTGTATGCTAGTTTTACATTTTTCTATTTTCTCTACTTGCCAATCCATTTTGTTATTCTTGGGTTTGTTAGTACCCACAACAATTAATCATTATATTCTTAGAAAGCTCCAAAAAATAATGCATCAATGAGAAAGAATTTCATTTAATTCATCTTCTACCAAAAAAATGAGAAAGAAGTTCATTTAAATATGCCAATATTCCATAAACTCCATTAAGAAAAGGGAAAGCAAAATCAGGGTTTAGATCTTTCAGTGAAGCAAGTAATATTAATTGTCACAGGTGTTCCAACTATTAGCAGTAGAAGATTTTGTTCGTATGTACACATGAAATCTGGGGAATGGAGCTTTAGGTGCGTAACAGATTGACGACCTGTCAACAGTATGAACAGTGTTATGATTTGGACAGCACGGACAAAATTAATTAGTGAATTTATATGCGAGGAGGCCAAGTATGATGATCCCTCCTTGTCACCCAAAAGAAAAGATTAAACATAAGAATGGTGACCCAATATATTAATACACGAATCACTCTTTCTTGATTGTTATTTGTTCAAAAAAATTGCCACATGGCAATCCTTGTCCTTGACTTGTGTGTATCCATGGCCATTGTATGGGCAAGGACCTTTCCGGCTGCCGGTAGTTGTTCATTTTGTAGAAGTAAATCAACTCCATAGTCCGTAGCAATGTTTTAAATACCGACCCAGAACTGAAAATCAGTTTGACCACCGGTTTTCAGGTCAGCATTTGGACCATCTGGGTCTAACAGATTGACAGATCGACCACCCTGGTCAGCGGGTTGCTGATCAATTCAGTGATTTTTATGAAAAATAAACTGTTCAGGACTGAAATGAAACCAATAGCTAGCTTAATTGGTTTTTGGGTTGAATAGTTCAACCATATGGATCAATGATAATTTTTAAACCTTGGTGCTATATATGGTTTGATAGAAAACAAAACAAAAATAGAAAACTGAGAGAATCATCCCTACATTGCCTACACATAAAGGAAAACGAGTAGCCTAGCTAACCCCAACCATCATCTACTGAAATTCTTGATATATATGGTATTGGGTTCCAAGCAAATAATTCCAAATAAGTCACCAATTAATCAATTGGCCCCACTTAGTTGGCTATTAAATCCTTAGCTTTGAATTCCATACAACATCCAAATCAGTACTCCTTTCAACATTCCACACTTCAAAATGATACGAAGTTAATTAATTCTCAGGCTGATTTCCTTATTCTTAAAGATACCCTCATCTTTGGTTATTTCCATACTGGGAAATGTGCTTTTCCTATTTATTTCACGTGGGGTAGCACGACCACCAAAAGTCCTCTCTAGAGTAGCTCTATTTGATAGGCCAGAAATTTTCAAAATTAGTAGTTGAGAATTTTAGAGTTTCGATAAATTACAAGAGTTGGCACTCCAACCATAGCGACTCATTTATTTTCTTTAATATATTGATCAGGGTGTCTTCTTTAATGGATGATCCCACCAGATGGCAATTGGCAGAACAAACTATAAGACCTAGATAGGCTTCCATTTCCAGATCAATGAACACAACCCACTTGATACATTGAGCTCATTTGTGGTTTCAGAGTTCCAGCTTATCCACCCTTCAATATCTTTTCATGTCTTTGCTTGTGAAGATGAGCTCTTTTTCTTTTTCTTCTATTCTTCTTCTTCTTCTTCCTCTCTTGCTGCCTGCGTTATTCTCTACCTTTGGAGCTGAAGCTCAGCCCCTATTCAATCCCACTAAGGTTGTGAATTATTCGGTTTCAGCCATTTACATATTCGGGGACTCGACTGTGGACTCAGGAAACAATGACTACATAGCCACTCCTTTCAAGAGCAACTTCCCACCCTATGGACAGGATTTTCCAAATCATATACCGACCGGAAGGTTCACTAATGGCAGACTTGCCACAGATTTCATTGGTAAGAGGAACTGATCGATATCCAACTCCATTAAAAAGGAGCTGAGAATATTTTTCTCTTTTTTTTTTTCTCTAAGTGTTGTAAATGTTTCTAACTTTGTCTGGTCTCAATATGTATATATCTGGTGCAGCGTCCTATGTGGGAGTTAAAGACTTCGTGCCTCCATATTTGGATGAAACACTGGGTTTGGAGGACTTGATGACCGGGGTTAGCTTCGCCTCCGCCGGTTCAGGATTTGACCCACTTACAGCACAAATAACTGTATCTCACTCTCTCCTTTTTCAACTATGTATTTTGCACTAGTTCGAAATTTCAAATGGGAATTTCAGTTTTTTTTTTCTGCTTAGACTGGGAACATAAAGCTTTGCTCACATTGTGGTACATATTCCGGTATAACAATGTGTAGGTGTGGATGTTGATAGTGTTTCTGAATCCTAACAGAGTAACAGTGATTGATCATCTTTTGGATTTCTGGCCTTACTGATCAGATATCTTTGTTTGGTTGGTTGCAGAGTGTAATTAAGATGTCCAAGCAGCTTGAGTATTTCAAGGAGTACAAAACCAGGCTGGAAGAAGCAATAGGAAAGGAGAGAACCGAAAATCTCATCCAGAAGTCTGTGGCTATTATCAGTGCTGGAACAAATGACTTCGTCTTCAATTACTTGGCTGTCCCGATTCGACGACAGGGATACAGCCTTGAGGATTATCAGCAGTTCCTGATGCAAAATCTCCGGGAGTTCATTCAGGCAAGCTTCTAAATTGCTCATTATATTGCAGTGAACAGTAGTGAAGATAGAATATATAGTTGATAGTTAATCCATGTGCATCAGCCTGAGAACTGCTGAATCATTACTTAGAGTACTGAAACTATCACATCAACGGAGACCATTTGTTGGGCAATTTCTGAAGAGAATTTCTGCTTCGAAATTGAAAAAGAAGCAAACAAAAGAAGCTATCCAAATCAGGTTGTTCTAGCCATTTGGTGCTTTAGAGTTTCTTAGAACAGATCAAAACCATGTTCTGTGGCAGAACTCATTTATTGGATTTTAGATTCAATAGCAGCTAAATTAAATGCAGCCTATGAACTGTGAGGATAGGACATAGGCGGTTGGTAGCATTCCATATACAAATATATATATATATATATATATGATGAAGTGTTCATTGGAGGAAGCATGAGAAGTTGATAGCCTTCTCACCAATCACCATGAATGTGGACCCCATAGGTTGGTAGAATGTTTGGTGGCTGTTAAAGAATATTTAATTCGAGTTTTTGCAGCTCCTGCCTGTACTTCGATTATTCTAGGGTTTCCAAGGTGTTTCAGTATTACGAAAATTATTTAAGTGTAAAAAGTTTCGTACTTCCCGACGTTCTTTCTTTCTTCTCCTCTTCGTTTGTTAGGGTTTATCATGGCCCGGGCTGGTCCAATTGGTCTTAGCACCAACTATAAATGGTTATAGCCCCGCCCTAGCGGCTTAGCCTGGTCTGTACGGGGCCGGGCCTGGCTTTAGGCCTATGAATTTATAATTTATATAAATATAATATATTATATAAGAAGGAAAGGTCGGATTAGGATACTTAAAAGGCATGATATCTGTTGATTGGAAAAAGCTTTTCAAGTATATATAATATCTTTTAGGACTATTATACAATGTGTCATTTTATAACATTTAGATCCGTTCGTTTTTTGGTAAGTTATTTATCTGGGTAAATGTAATCATCTGAGTAAGTTTTCTTGAAAAACACTTACCCGAGTAAGTGTATTTACCCATGCTCTTTTATTTCTAAGGTAAATAAGGTAATCATCATTTTAGCCATAAAAATCTATTATTAAAAGGGTCATTTTTGTCTTGTTCAAGTGTTGGCAACTTCTCCCATGTGGTAAAGTTATTTACCCACCTAGTTAAGTGATACTCTGGAAAATAAACTTTCCCTGGTCTCCACATAAATTTAAAAAAGGAACATGGGATTCTTGTCAATAGGAACTAGACCTGTTCACGGGCCAGGCTTCAGGCCTGACTTACACTATGTCGAACTCAGGCTTCAAGCCGGGCCCCATTCAAAATTTGGTAAAAGCCAAGCCCGAGCCCAGCCCATGAATAGGTCTAATAGGAACCAAAATCCCATTGACCAACTTTTCTCCCTCTCAAAATCCAAAAAATGAAAACCCCTTATATACAATATATCAAATAATATAAAATAATATATATATATATATAGAGATATTAAAGGCCGGGCTATAAATAATCACCCCTATTGCAAACCTGATTAGATACCTTGCCTTATTGGAAAAACATCCCCATACAATTAATGAATAAATTACTTCACTTACTCTAAAAGACTCTGAAAGGAAAAAAAAAAAAAAAAAGCCAATTTTCCTAACCCAATTGACATTCTCAAGTGTCTATCTTCAGTGATAAATCTAGGCTCTATTCTAATTACAAAAAATAAAATAAATAAATAAATTATCTAATAATCCTAACTGGTGCGACCTTCATTACTAAATTCTATTATTGTCTACAGGGTTTATGGGAACAAGGGGTACGAAAAATTGCAGTAGTTGGGCTTCCTCCGATGGGTTGTTTGCCAGTTGTTATCACCTTCAATTCACAAGCATCAGCACAAGGAGGCTGTGTAGAAAGCTACTCAGCAGTAGCAAGAGACTACAATCTGAAGCTCCAAGCTGAGTTAGCATTTATGCAAATGAGCGTTGCATTTTACGGGGGTAGAATCATGTATGCAGACATATATCAACCCATAACTGACATGATCCAAGACTACAAAAGATTCGGTGAGTGCTTAAATTAAAGGACCCCTCAACCTATTGTCGTCCGTTGGCATGAACATGATATATCGTTAAACTAGCTTTGTGGCCATCTGGTATAGGCTTTCAGGCTGTGGCTTATGGCTTATTTGCGAGATGGAGCCCATCCGAAAAGCTTATAAGCATCGGTTGAGTTTAATAAGTTTTCCGGAGAGCCCAAATTAAAATTGATCATCAAGCAGCCATTTACACGGCTCTCCATTGAAGTCTCTTCTTTGGAGGAACACTGAGAGCCCATCTCAGCGCTTCTGTCATCGGCCATGGAAACCTCTTTCATTAGCTTCGTTAAAACAACTTAAACAAAGCAGCTAGTTACATCCTTTTGGTTCCATGGAGTTACATACAACGACGGATAGCCCATCCCCAAGGTCCCAACTTGGTGAAGACCGCAAGAATTTAATTACAGGCCTCCCAAATGAGACTCTATGTAGGGGTGCAAGTTGGGTATCTGATTTGAAAATTTTACACTGCATAGGATCCAATACCCCAAACTTTCAAACCGGGCCCATTCAAATTTTAATAATTTTTCAATTTAAGCCCACCCAAGTTACACCTCTAACAAACAGAAAATTGAGGGGAAGTTGTTGATAAATTTTATCAAATTCAATTCCTTAGACCATGGTTTTCAAAACCGGATCAGAACGGACTGTCGGATCAGAAAAATCGGGAACCAGTCAGGTGATCGGTTTCATTTTTTATCAAAACCAGATTTTGGTTAAAAAACATTGATTTAGTCAGCAAAACACTGACCCGAGCATTCAAACTATTCAACGGTTTTGATCATTTTTTAATTTTTTAATTTTTTGTCAATACGGGCCGACCGTTCGATTCAAACGATCGGACCGTTTGACCCTGAAACCGGACCCCTGACTAGTTTGTTCTCTGGGTCACCGAACGGTGAAACCGTTTGACCCGAAAACCAGACCCCTGATCAGTTTATTCTCTGGGTTGCTTTTAAAAACCTTGCTTTAGATTGTGTTTGGTTTGAAAGAAAAGGTAGGGAAATTTATACAAGCCTTTCCCCGCCTTTTCTTTCAAACGAAACACACCCTTTTCTTTCAAACCAAAGACTTCTGTATGTTCTAACAAACTTAATAAGCACTACTTCAAGTTGTCCCATTAACATAGCCTTTATAAGTGAATGGGATTATGAAACACTCTTATGTTGCATCTGGATAAGCATCATGTGTGTGCCTTTAAAACTCAAATGCACAAACCCCCAATTTATACCATTCTGCTTTGGGGCTTAAAGTTCTTTTGGCTTTAGATTAATTATTGTGTTTTCAAAAGTAATTCCTTCCAAACACTCATTATTTTTCAAAATGAATTCTCGTTATTTTTCATTCTTACTCAAGATGAAAATCTAAAATAGACAAGAATGGGTAAAATGAGAAAATATTGCTATAAATTGAATGTTTTTTTCTTAAAAAATGAATTCTTTTTAGATTGACAAGTGCCCTATGTTGTTCATTTTCATTCTTCAAAAAATTTTGTGCCGGTGATCATAAACAGCCTGTCTAGGTCTCCAAAATTGCTGTCATAGATGTTTACCAATAGACAGCCAGTAGTAGTCAATGTCTGTGGCAGTCCACCAATAAACATCTATGGCAGCAGTTTTGTAAGCCTAAACCACCATCAACATAGAGTTTCTTTAAAGAATGAAAATGAGCAAGATGGGGCATAATTATTTTTCATGTATAGACTATCCAAAATTTTGTGCTATGGGCTAATTTTTCGTTCTGAAAAAAATGAGACCTATGGCAAAAGATTTTATAATCGAACGCTCTAATATTATTCATTCTATTGCTAATTACTGTTTAAAATGAGTAAGAATTAAAAGAATGAACCCCGGAGCAGCAAACCAAATATGGTCTAAGTTGCATCAAATCCAGGCCTATCCAATTTAAATTCTAACCAACCCCTTGACATCCCAAATTTTGAAACATTAAGGCTGCATTTGGTATTCCTTATCTCCCTTTTCCAATTAAAATAAGGAATGCCAAATGGGGACTAAGCTAAATTTATTTTTCATTTTCACACACTTACACACTTTTGATGTACAGGCTTTGAAGAGTGGAGGAGTGGATGTTGTGGGACAGGACTAATGGAAGCATCATTCATGTGCAATCCCAATTCTTTAGTTTGTTCCGATGTATCCAAGTACCTCTTTTGGGATTCTGTTCATCCAACAGAGAGAGCATATTACTATATCTTCAGCTCTCTGTATAACACCATAGATCACCTTGTAAGGGATTAGCCTAGCCTCTCTAAGATTTTAAATGATTGATATGATGAGATCTATCAACTGATTGCATATGCCAAGAATATCAAACAAATTAAAGAATAGAAATGAAAAGGAAAGTTATTTTTTATGACTTAGAAAATCAAGAAAGTTACAAAGCAAGAAAGGCTCTTTATGCTTTCCATTGCTTATAGTGCTGCTGTTTAGAGCCAAAAACTTGGAATCTGCAAAGGTAGAGATTACAATGAGACACACTTAACTCCCATCATCTCTTTGTGTTGCCTCTTAGTCTAAAACTAAAAGTTTTTCATCTCCAATTATTACTTCACCTATAGGCCACGAGAAATACCCAGTTCCATTCATCTATTTGATGATTATCTCACTATTTCTACTTTTTCTATCACTATATTGTGTTGCTCTTTCCTTTTTTCTTGATTGGTTTCTCTCATTTATCTCCACCATTTTCTAGCATTTTCTCCTCACAGGAACCATATCCCTTACCTAATTAATTGAACATGACTTATGTTTAGACAGAACTTTTAGAAAATCAAGCCCTAGAATAATGCTTCTTGAGCTTGGAGGGAATTGTTGATCAATAAAATATGATTGGGCATGGTTAAATTTGTAGAATTGGAAAAGATTATGTCAGATCGGGGGGTGATCCAAATTCAACCCAATTTTTAACTAAATCCTATTATTCAATGCAATCCGATCCAAAATCTGATAGGGGGATATCCAAATTTGACAAAATACGATCGGATTTGAATTGAGATTAAATCATGATCCACTATACAAGGATATCTTGGTCTTACACAACTACTTACTCACAACTATTCTCAACTCCACACATACTTCTCATAAATTATGTACATTGGTATTTATACACATGCACGATGGTCCAGTAGCAATACTTTTCAGTACTAAGGTAGTGTTTGGTATCATTGTCACTTCTACTTACAATATTTTTGTGTTGGTAAATACAATTTTTTTGAGAAATTATTTTGTCACATCACATCACATCAAATAATTATTTCCATTTAAAAAATATAGACAATGAATTAGGTATTGTCATTTTTAATAAAAATTCTAAATTTGACATTTGTATTGATAAACATAAGCAATGGTAGTAATGTTGTATTGATAACTCAAAGCATTTGTGATAGAAAAAAAAAATATATGTTTTCTGCAAGTGAAAATGGCAATGGTACCAAACACAACCTAAGGGGTTGTTTAGTACCACGGGCATTTATTTAATAAATGTTTTGTGCTATTTTTATCTTGAAAAATAAGAAAATGGTTGATAGCCATTTATATGGTATTGTTTAACAATTAGACACCATTACGCATCACATAAGCTATTATAGTAAATAAATGATTGGGTGTTGAAGAAAAATTAAAAACGATGTTTCCCCCAACAGTTGACTCTCATACAAATCAAGAAAACATTTATTTAATAAACAAACTTACCAAACACCATGCAAATAACATTTTGGGATAAATATCTATATGATGATGAACTAACACCATTTTTCAAATAAACAGTCATAAAACCAAACACCATGTGAAGGTTGCATGGTCCATGGAATGCCAAACCATTGCGAGTTGTGAGGTGAAGTAACTTGCGATACCAAATATGTAGAAAGATCAGTTATCCACGAGATGAACTCATCTACAAGGTGTATATACAGCAATCTCGCGAAGCCAAATCTTGCACCTTACGATATGATATTTGCTAACAATATTCTTGTGAACTCGATCTCTCACCTACCGATAATTCCTACCAGACAAAGGTGTCAACAATCCCCATTGATCTTCTGCGAGTCCAATTGATAGAGAGGCTAACTACAAGATCCAATCAAGGCGGGGAGATCACATCACACCCAAAATCGGGGAGATCACAACACAAAAGTAGGTTCTACCTGAGAGGGAAACCCAACCCAACATTAAGTAGTTGCAATTAGATTTATCGAAATAATAGTTTTTGGAGAAAATGCACTCTAATGTAAGTATGCTCTAGGGACTAGGGATTATGTAAAAACTACAAATAAGAAGCCAACAACTTTGAGTAGGGGTGAGTGATTATGGGCTAAGCAGCTTAGCCCAGGTCCTGACCCGCACACCTGGCTTGACAGCCTTGACCCCACATGGACATGGGGCCCATGGTTGCACAATTGAAGGCAACCATGTGTATCACTTGAGCAGATCTCAAGTTGATGGGAACAACCGCATAAGCATCATTTGAATTCATTAAATTATTTTTCTGTCCAGCAATTTCAAGAATTAAAGTTGTTCATGGCAGAAACTATCTGCTGGCTAAGCCGCTGGCCAGTCTTATACTAGTAGACGGCAAAGCATTTAGCACAGTTGTTAAAAGTAAGGTCATAGTCGCCCAAGTTGTTGTTCTGTCCACAAACTAGTTGCACAGTGGAGGACGACTTCTGATGGGTTGGAAGCAATAGTACAACAAGTCCCCAGTTTCATTCTGATAGTCCAGCAAGTACTCTGTTTCATTCCGAAGTTCCTGTTTGAGTCATAACCACATTTTGAGCATGGGTGCCCGTGCCCGTGCCTAGGGTGAGCAATATAAATCGAACCAAATTGAAAAATCAACTGGAACCGAACTAGTTAATTGAATTAGTTAATTTGGTTTTGGTTTGATATTATTTTAATAAAATAAAGGTACCAGTTCAATTTTAGTTAATTAATATAGAAAATCGACAGTTAATCAAATTAATCGGTATACATATATTTTTATGAGCCCGGATCTTCTGCCCACGTCTAGTCATCCTCTGCATAGTATTATATAGGGGGAGATGTTCCCAATTCATGGGGGTGGTGTATTGTAGGTAGACACAAGTAGAATTCTCGTGGATAGAAGATCCGGAGTCTATTTTTATATATTTTTTGTATTTTCTATATATTATAAATTAATAAATATTACATGGTATGGTATGGCATATTGTCGTGTATAAATATAACAAAGTGAAATCCGTATAGATCGAATAAAGGCTATGTTTAGTTTAGTTTGATAGAGAATAAGAGAAAATAGAGAGCTTGAGCTTTAAGTTCAACTTTCCGTTTCTCTCTTTATTTTCTTTCAAACCAAAGCACAGCACAAGGTTTTGTTCCAGTGGTTTATTTCCTTTCTTTTTCTTTATTTTAGTTAATCCTGATTAATATTTTAAAAATCAAAACTGAAATAGAACCATATTTATCCGAGTCGTGGGCTAGTGCATTTTCAACCTCAGGTGCCACATTGAATGATTCAACTGTGGTTTAGTCATTTAACATATATACATTATCAAGTGGTACTCTTTTACAAATAAAAATTTAAGTCTTTATTTTAAATTGGGGTAAATCAATGGTGTATGAACTGCACTTGAAACAAACAATATGAAGCAGTAATAAAGCACGTAGTTGAATCATTAACATTGTTAAAATGAGATGTGGTAGATCATGATTCATGTGACATCTTTATTTATCCTCCACAAATATTCAAAAAATGCACCAATAGACTGTGTTGGACTCTTAAATTGGTGAACGAATTCCCTAGTCTTGTTAGAAAGTTTATGATTATCCAAAACCAAGCACTATCAGTATTCCTTTCTTTATCCTCCACTAGAATATGTACAAAGAATACTAATTGAAAGTTTCAGGTTGTGATGCTGAAACGAATCTGTTCCACTGTGATATATTTGGCATAAAACGCATAATATCTCAATGCAAACGCAAATAGAATAAATATTAAAAATCTTATGATTTTGTTGTTTCAGTGCAAATTTAAGCCACACACAAATTCTGCACCTGATCTAGTAACTATGATTTGCATTCCTAATCTCTACCTTTTGTCTCATTTTCACTTGTTAATACTTTAAATTTTGCATCTCAAAAACTGATAAAAATTTGTACCACCTTCCTCCTACCTCAATTCTCTCGCATACAAAGTAGAGACCACATCATCTTGCTTCCTGCCTCACTCCCAAACAAGTTACCATTCTCTACTTTTGTACTTTTTCTTGCAAGGTGAGACCACACCATCTCTAGATTGGAAGTTGATGGATCGGTCTTGACTATCCAGGATGAGATAGCAAGGGCACTTATAGAACATTTCAAGTCCATCTTCAGAAGGCCTCTAAATGGGAGGGTGTGGGTAGAAGGGATGGATTGGCCAAATATAGGGGCAGAAAATAGCCAATGGCTAGACAGAAGTTTTGAAGTGAAGGAAACTAAGGAGGTGGTATTTTCTATGGACAGAACAAAATCTCCAAGCCCAGATGGTTTCACAATGGCATGTTATCAAGACTGTTGGGATGTTTTAGAAATGGACATAATGTTAGTCTTTGATGAGTTCTAGAGAATGGGTGTAATTAATCCTGGTTTGAAATCTACTTTCATTGCATTAATTCTAAAGAAGAAAGATGTCTCTCAACCAAAAGATATTAGACCAATCAACTTGGTAAAAAGCCTTTATAAGATAATTACATAAGTGTTGTCTTTAAGGCTAAAATAAGTTTTACCAGCTATCATTGCACCAAATCAAGGAGTTTTTGTGAAGGGAAGACAAATCACTGATCAAATTTTAATTGCCCATGGAGAATTTCAAAAGGGCCATAAAGAAAAGGGTGGTATGCAAGCTGGATCTAGAAAAGGCATATGATTTAGTGGGCTGGTTTTTCTTGAAGGAGGTTTTGGTAAACTTTGGGTTTGGGTACAAATGGTGCAAATGGGTGTATCCGAAATTGCCATTACTCTGTGCTGGTAAATGGGTTAGTGGTGGACTTTTTCCCAACTCTCTCCATTCCTATTTACATTGATTATAGATGTTTTGGGGAGATTGATCCATAAAGCAGATACAAGGAATCTAATAAGAGAATGGAGAGTAGGAAATGATGAAATACCCCTTACCCATTTACAATTCGTAGATGATACTTGATGGAGGGTGATTTGGCCCGACCTCGCAGCACAGGTACACGTGGGCGTGACCTTGCTCAAACAGTGACTCAGCGTGACAACACAACTGACATGACCACAACTCGGAGGGAAGGTCCCACCGAGTTCAGCTCGGCAACTGGGCGGATAAACTACTCGCCAGAAGCCGCCTTACCCACACCT